TTATATATAAAAAAATATATATTTTGAATTTCAAACATTTCAAAATTTCCCAAAATCTATTTTTTTCAAAGTTTTGCAATGTTTTTTTTTTTAATTTGGTTTTCGGTACAGGAAGTAGCAGCAATTTTCCTTAAGAAACGATGCCATGCATCACTAGTTTAATATCTGAATCTGTTCGATCATGGTACATCAGCAAATTTTTGTAATACTTAGAATATCTAAATCAAATTCCAATTCAGTGATTGGACGAATTGGATAAAGGAACATTTTTTTATTATTTATTATTTTTGTTTAGCAGTATTAAGCTGTTTGAATCAATTAATTCACTCACACTTTTAAAGTCATATATGTAATGTATTGTTCTAAATTTTTTTATGTATGCTAATAGAATATTGCCTCTAGTGATCTTCTTTTGCAGCCTTTTTGAAACTGGTATCTCAAGAAGTTTAGTTACCATAGATTCAGCATGATCTTCAAGTTTTAGAAAATTAATATGACATTATTATTTGAAAAAATAAATTTACGTCAATGCCATTTTAAAATATACAGCCTTCAAACAATTAAATTTCTAAACCACAGTCAAAAATAATGACACAATTGCCCCAAATGTTCTAGAATTAGAACAATTTGTTAAACCAAGACTGTATAATTTTAAAAATTTGTCGATTTTGAAAGACTCTCATTTTATAATAGCGCCTTGGCAAATGCTTTAAAAGTTTGCGCTTTTTATCGTGATTGCAAAATGTTATAATACTTGTTTCTTTCATACTAAAAAAATCGAATAAAAATAAAACCCTAGATAACTCATGGCAAATATGTCCACTATCCATCTTTCCCATCATTTGGCAGCAAAATTAAGAACTTACCAAAAGGACTGAAGCAAAAACATTTAGCAAAAATCGGATTACATGAGGTTATTGTTATTGTTACTCGTTTTTGAGTATCAAACAAAGAACTATTGTACAATTTTTCAATCCTCATTTAAGTCCGCAAAATTTCAATGGTATGGTACTTCAATATATTTCTATAAATTGAGGGCTTTTCAAAGTTGCAAATTTTCTGGGTGACTTGATTTTTTCAAATATGTAATTTTTTTAGCGGGTCCAATCCAAGTATGGAGACAAAATTACTCATTTTGAGCAAAAATAAGATAAATTGTTCCAAAAGAAACCAAATATAAGAGAAGTTACTAATAAATATATTCGATGGAGTATTCGTAATAAATTTTCGCATATAATTGTAAGAATATATTTAGATTTAATATTTAGATAATAAAATAAATTTATATTTATATTTAGATAATAATTTTTAGTTAACTGATCACCAAAATCAATTACCTAATTTTATTTTCGACGTTAAAAAAAATCTGCTTTGATGGTATTAATTTTATCTTGCAATAAAAAGTACTATAGAAATTCATACCTTGTAAATTAAAGTAAACCTTAAAAGAGTTATTAAATACATTTGTCCATGAGGAAAGTTTATAGTTGTAAATCATTGTCATTTTAAGCAATGTGTTGCTAAATGAGATGCATGATCCATGCGGTACCCAATCTTGCTAATGATTTCATCCAAGAAAAACTTGTGAATGATAATAACAATGATCAGAAAAAAGTGTTTATATCTAAATATATGTTTGTACGGAACCCTGTTTGAGCATGTTTCAATCACTGAACGTTTTTCATAGGTATCATAGCAATTTACTGCGTCACCAGGTGTTTTTCGTAAGAACTGATAAAGAATTGGCCTTCGCATCATCGCGCTGAGTAAACAGTTGAACGCAAAGACGGTCTAGAGATAAAATTTTATTTGTTATTCCCGGAAATCTTTGTACATTAAAACCGGATCGTAAAATGGAAAGACATAGGTAAATAAGGCTCTGGCCAATTGCAACCAGCTCCAAGAGTTGGAATCAGGTTTATACACTAATTTTGAACAAGGGATGTTCTCACTATATAGAGACTCTATACACAAAATTCAATATGAGGCTCATGAACTTTATTTCTGATATTGTTATCAAATGATCTCGTGAATATGAAAAATAATCATTTGAAATCAATAGTTTTGGAATAAGTATGCAGCTATGATAATCAGCCAGCGATTTTTTCGATCGTTCTAAACTATTCACAATAAAACATTCTGCTTCACATGGATCCAAGAAAGTCCAAATTTCAAGTAAAAAGAATTTCAAGATAACCATTGGGTTGCCTTCTAATAAAGCCAGAGAGTACAAAATGCATAACAGTAGCTCATAGAAAATTGGCAATAATTCTGATTGCTATTCAAATAGAATAAACAGCTTTGAATTATGGAACATGGATGTATGTATATCTTACGTAGACTGAACATAAATAATAATATCATAAATAATAAATCGTTTTGTTTCCTTATGTTGCATACAGTTAAAATTTATCATGTATGTAATCATAACATTCAAATAATAATTGTGAAATAAGATGCACCAAAAAAAACCTATCAATTACTAAGATTATAATAATAAAGGGGAGTACTGCACAAAGGCAAGTTGCGCTGAATTAAACTTCAACTTCTTCCAATGAAGTAATTACTAGGATATAGAAATTCTAACAATAATATGTTATAAAAGTATGTACCAGAAATCTTGTTATCACAAAAAAAAGAATTAAAGCAAATATTTCATAATTTTTTATGTTTATTTCCATATGAATCCTTGAATTTGAATACCAATTGACTTCGAGCTTTATTTAGGCGCTTAAGCTTATTAGGAAGTGTAATCCCAATTGTCAATAACAAAATGTGGTTTTTGTTGTCGTTTTCATGGATGAAATTAGTTGATATTTTTAGTTGACGGTTGTTTTGTTGTGTTATGTGTGTCCCGAGTAAATTTGATTAAGATATTACAGGCCCCGCGCTGTGCTGTTTGCTTTGTGCGACTCCACTCTGACTAAAGGGTGATTTCCAACGGGGAAAGAGGCACCAAAATGCAGCAGAAATAGGACATATTCACAATAATTTATTTAAAAAATATTTTTTGCTAATTTAATGATATGCCAGGTCAGTAATTATTTGCTAAATCAATTTATTGAAAAAAATCAGATTAGGCTCTTACGTCCAACGCCAATGAAAGTAGTCAGTGAAATAAAGTTGTAATGCTGCAGAAGTTAGAAAAGGTTAGAACAATTTAAGAAACTAAGAATAAAAAAATATATTGTTGTTAATTTAATATAAGACTAGATCATTCATTACCTTCTACATTAATATTGGACTAGACACTTATAAAAAATTAATTATTATTAAAATTAAAATTTTAGTCAGAGAAATAAATACTGTACAATAATGAATTAAATATTTATTAATAGTCTGCAAAAATATCTACTATCAATGAGTAAGAATTAAAAATGAATAAAAATATAATAAAATTTAGAAGAAACTATGCAATATTTTCTCAAAAAATTGATTCAAACCTATTAAGTTCGTCTTTTATATAAATTGATAGTCTTGCTATTGAAGCATTTCCCTAGCAATAAGGCAGATTCATGATTTGAGAAATATTTCTCAATCATGGATCAATAAATCACTGCATTGGA